AATCGAATGAGACCAAATTTGGAAAAAGTATGTGTGTGTGTGTGTGTGTGTATGTGAACAGATTTTTTGCCGTAAATCGACGTTTTCTCGAAAACGGCTGGACCGATTTCAAAAATTTAAAAGCCATTCGATGTATCTCGACGAGAACTATTGTTTGTCAGTTTTGTGCGACGATCGGCCAAGCCGTTTCTTCATAAATGGCAGAAAAGTGAAAAATTTTTCGTCTACGTTTTAGCCCGCAATTCTGAATCGATTTTGAAAATTCAAAAACCGTTCGAAAGATATTGGTTGGGAATCGTGCTGATTAGTTTTTGGTAGAGATCGGCCGGGCCGTTTTCTTGTAATAAAGTTTTAAAAAAAAAAATTTCGACGATTTTTATGATTATTTTTTTGACGATAGATACCATAGTCTTCTAGATCATACTAAAATATTACGGCCCTACGACAACTGGTTCAGCTTTAAAAATTCGTCAAAGTTTGCAAAAATCAGTATGGTCTTTCTGGCATTTGTCAAAATTAGACTTTTGATCGACGTTTTAAAAGCCATTTGATGTATTTCGGTGAGGACTATCGTTTGTCAGTTTTGTGCGACGATCTGCCAAGCCGTTTCTTTGTAATTTGAAAAAACTTTTCATCCACATTTAAGCTCATCCTACCGAACGATTTTAAAAAATCAAAAACTGTTCGAAAGATATTAGTTGGGAATGGTACTGATTAATTTTAGGTGAAAATCTACCGAGCCGTTTTCTTGTAATTAACTGTTGAAAAAAAGTGTTAAATTTTCGTCGACATTTAAGCTCATCCTACCGAACCGATTTTAAAATATCAAAAACTGTTCGAAAGATATTAGTTGGGAATGGTACTGATTAATTTTAGGTGAAAATCTACCGAGCCGTTTTCTTGTAATGAACTGTTGAAAAAAAAATTTAAGCCGATTTTCATGGAAATTTTTTTGGCGATTAACATCATGGTTTTATAGAACTTACTGTAATATTACGGTCTAACGACAAGTAGTTTAATTTTAAAAATTCGTCAAAGTTTGCTAAAATTATTATCGTTTTTTTTAAGTAGGATTAATGAAGTATATTATTTACACTTTTTTTTTTATTAAGTCGATTATTTACACATTTCGGGAAGTTCATGTAACTTGCCTCAAGGCTAAATACCAAACCAACTAGTTATTATTATTGTTTCTTTGTTTTTTTTTTGTTTTTTTATTTTTTTTTTAATTTTATATGATTATTATTGTTGAAATACTTTTAATACTTTACATTAGTTAATTAAAACTTATAATTTAAAAAAGAAAAAAAAAACACTAAAAAATTGAGATACAAAATATTGATTTTTTTTTTTTCTAATTATTATCTTCATATGACTGTTATTGTTAAAATACTTAATAATTAGTTAACTAAAAACTTATAATTTAAAACACCTAAAATTGTGAAACAAAATTTTAATTTTTTTTATATGACTGTTATTGTTAAAATGCTTAATAATTAGTTAAACAAAAAACTTATATTTTAAAAACACTTAAAAAATTGTGAAAAAAATACTTCTTTTATCAAAATACCTAAAAATTTGTAAAAAAAAAACTTATATTGTAAAAATATTTAACAATAATAATGAAAATGATAGTGATATAATAATAATATAAGACACTTAAATTTGTTAAAATATCATAAAATGACCTAAAATTTGTTAAACAAAATAATTATATTGTAAAAGTATTGTAAAGCTTATTGAAATACTTATTAATTTTTTTAAAAAATACTTGCAACAAACAAACTAGTTATATTTATAAATAATTAAAATGAACTAAATATAAATAAGTTTATAGTAAATAAATTAAATAATAAATAAATAATAAAATAGCTAATAATTAATTATATTATATTAAACCTATAAAACATTGACTTAAGCCTTATTATAATATTATTATACTGACGGCTTGTAAAATTAATAAATAAATAAATAAATAAATAAATTGGGGTAAAAGACAATTTTATAGATTGTTTAATTGTGCATAAGTTTGTCATACACATCATTCATACTAAACGAATGGTTTAGAAGTTACATGAGTTGCAACAAAAAAAGTGCACGGGGTATACTCGATTCCAAAGCAAGATATCATCGTGCGCTGTATGTGTGAAGTCTTAGAGAAGTTGAAGTTTGTATGGAAACTAGTGTAGTTTGGAACTTTAGATCATTAGGTCGTTTCAAGTGCTATTTTAAAGTATAAGGAGTTACTGTAGGTCATTATAATGTTAAACAATATTGTTTAGTGTTTAATTCTGAACAAGTTTCTCATACACACCATTCATACTAAGCGAATGGTTTTAAAGTTATGACGTGTACACTTTAACTTGTAATACAACTTTGCTTCCGCCGTTTTGCCAATAGGAATTCATTACAATAACGGCGGTAGTAAAGTTGTACTTGTAAAAGATTTTCAAATGCATTTTGAAGTACGCCGAGTTGCTGTAGAGCGTTGGGGTAAAAGGCAATATTGTAGAGAATTTAATTTTGCATACGTTTGTCATACACATCATTCATACTAAACGAATGGTTTAGAAGTTATAAGCGTTGCAATAAAGAAAGTGCACGCGGTATACTGCATTCCAATGCAAGATATCTTCGTGCGCAATATGCGTGAAGTCTAGAGAAGTTGAAGTTTGTATGGAAACTAGTGTAGTTTTGTACTTTAGATCAGGGGTCGGCAACCTTTTACCTGTGGTGTGCCAAGCCACTGTACCAATATGATTCAGAGTGCCGCCTTAATTCTGAACAAGGACGTAGCGTGCATTGGCGGGCCCCGTATCAAAATTTTTTTGGGGATAAAGTTTCTGCTTCTATGAACAATAATGATCTGAGTGCTGTTTGTGTATCATAGAAGTATTTAACTTCCTGAAAGAAATGTTTAAATTTTTTTGCCAGAAAATGTTTGTTTACAACGATAGGCTGAGCCGATTTCTCGAAATTAGGAGAAGAGTGCTAAAATTTTCGCCCTCGTTTCAAAATCAAGAACTGTTCGGATTATATCCCCCGGACCTCTTTTTCTTTTAAAAAATCAAAAAATTTGGAATAAATCTAAATTCTTATTGATTGTGTCGATTATTTACACATATCGGGAAATACAAGCAAAGTTTCCTAAGACTTACAACTAATTAGCTAATTTTGTATCAGTTTTATTTTTGAAAAACTTTTTTCAGCATTTGCGGTTGAAACTGGGTAAATTGTATGCAAAAATTACTTCGGGAAAATTTTAAGCAAAAGTATTGAATTTTGACAGCGATATAATAAATATTGAATTTCATATTTTAGACATATTTTTCGAGTGTTTACAATTGGTTATAAAAATTAACACAGATGATCTTTTTAGACGAAAGTTTCATGAAGACAGGTGTTTTTGCTAAATTACTCAAGTTGTAATTATTCGAACATACTAATTGAGTCGAAGTCTCTGATCTTTGTTTAATTTCAGAAATTAATATGTATATTTAGCAATAGTATATGTTGAGTTTGAAACAAGATTACGGGTTGCTATACTTTGCCTTTTGTTTTTGAAAACAGTCGTTTACGCTCCATTCCTTTGATAATTTTTCGAGACATTTAATTTTTTAATTTTCACAAAATGACTTAATAAAATGCTAGTTTTCTATTCTATCGCAATCGCAACTCTCTTTATATTTTTACATTTTACACGCTCATGTTTTATTCGAAATTAAATTTAGTTGCAAGGAAGTTTTCATGATTATTTTAACTTTTATTATTTGTAAAATAAGATAAAAATTCGTAAGATTCTATTTATATTTGGGCAGGTTGGGCCCCCATGGCCCGGAAAAATACACTTTAAAACAATAATTTTACATTTCTCTTAATGAAATTAAATTTCACTGAACAAATTTTTCACGATTAATTCGCTTTTTGTGAAATATTTTTTTTATTATTAATATTTGCTTACGGACGTTGGGGGCCCCCTGGCTTGGGGCTGATATGGCTGATACGGCGGTAGTTACGCCCTGATTCTGAAATATATAATTAGGTTCTAGGAAAGATGAATTAAAACCAAATTTATCTTTTAAACATATTTATTAACAAATAACCTACAATTCTAACATAAACTAAACAATTTTAATGTGAACCTTGTCCCTGTACATTTTTGCTTAACAATTCAATATTCGGGATATAATTTGTTACTTTTAATTTCACACATGATTCTGAATGTTCAGTTGTTAAACGACTTCTTTGTGAACTCAAAATATTTTTCATGTGTGAAAAAATTTGTTCACGAAGATATGTGGAACCAAAAGCTGAAACAAATAAATCTTTCCGGCAATGACATCCAACAATTTAATATGACCGTAGATTTTTCTATAGAGTCATCTTCTAGATTTTTTCGTAGTTCTTTAAATTTTGTTTTCCATAATTCTGACGATGTTAGTTCGATAATTTCCATTTCGAAATTATCAACATTCATCCACTCGAAAATTGGACAATCGAACGGTATTGTTGATGAATCTAAATCTGGCTGTATGAGGAAGGAAAATATAGGCACATAAGCTTCAAAATCTTTGCATCTTTTGCAAAATTCATCTTTAAGTGCTTCAACGTAGGTTTTGAGTTCATTGTTGTTTACGGTCGATTCATTTGCAAGCGCTCTCACATTTGGGAAGTATTTGTAGGTGCTCGTGTTAATATCACGTAAAAATATATTTAATTTTGACGCAAATGCTGTCCAATATTCAAATAATTCGAGCACCGTTTGGCGCTTTCCTTGCAATTTCAAGTTTAGTTCATTTAGATGATTTGTTACATCGGTCAGAAACATTAATTTGCCTAACCATTCTTCATCGTTCAATTCGGGGAAATGTTGTTCCTTTTCGTTAAGAAAAACTTTGATGGTTCCAGACATGACACAAACTTATTTAAGACATTGCCTCGACTAAGCCAACGAACATGGCTGTATGAGGGAAGGTCAACATATTCACTTTCCATTTCTTCTAAAGAGATTTAAATTGTCTGTGTGTTAGTGAAGAGCGAGACACTATAAAATTAACTATTTTAACAACAGTGTTCATTACAGGAATTAAGCGCTGTGACGAAATTTTGGCAACTAAACTTTCCTGGTGTATTATACAATGGAAGTTCAATATTTTATGTCCAATATGATTTTCAAGAAGTTTGACAAATCCTCTATCTTTGCCAATCATTGCAGCTGCGCCGTCAGTAGTTACAGAAAATATTTTTTTGACATTAATGTTCTTGCTGTCAAAATAACTTATGAATGAAGAAAGAATATCCTCCCCCTTAGTTGTCCCAGACAGAGGAATCAAAGTACACAATTCTTCATAAACTTGATCTTTATCACAATACCGTGCAAATACTGCAAGCCGCGCAATATCATTTACGTCGGTACTTTCATCAACAGCAACACTAAATGAAACAGCTTCTTGTAATCCAGCATTCTGTTTTGTTGTTACATTGTCTGCCATTTCAGTTATTCTTCTTTCAATTGTTCGCGCAGAAGCCGGTATTTCTTGAATTCGGGATAATATGGTTTGTTGGTTAGGTAAATCGCTAAACAACTTTTCAGCACTTTTTATAAAAAATTCCTTTATATATTCTCCATCTGTAAAGGGTTTGCCTTTGGCAGCTATGCAATGAGCAATTGCGAAGCTGCATTCTGTCGCTTTAGCCTTCGTTCCAGTCATTCCACAAAAAAAAGTTATTTGTTTCTTATAACAAGAAACAGCTTTCTTTATAGTTTCACATTTCTCATCGTTGCTATTAAATGTGGACTGATGTTTGGTTTGGAAATGTCTTTGTACACTTGACGTGCGGCATACTACACTTTCGCGGCATATCGCACATACAGCACGATCCTTTTGTTGTATAAATCCATATTCATTCGTCCAACAGTCTTGAAAACCGCGAACATCTATTTTTGTTTCTTACTCTCCATTTGATTAAATACGAATGAATTATAACAAATATAAAATCAATAAGATACAAGTCTTCACAAAAAAAGTTAGAACGAAAAGTAGCGACCAAACGAAATGCAAGTTTAACTGCGCAAGTTTAAGCCCACCGCACAAGCACACAAGCAAATGGTGCGCAGCACTCGCAGTTGATGAACGAGAAAGAGGGGGGCGAGTGATACTCCAACATTCAGCTTCGTGAAGGCCGCTTCGATAACTACTCGGCACTGCACATGTTTCATCCCTTTTACTCCGAATGCGGTCTCAATCAACCTTCGCGCAGATTTTCATGAAATTAGCGAACCACATTATAATCAAACTTTCTCTCTTATTTTCAACATTTTCTCTTATTTAAAAATCACTTCGTCTCGATATATTTGCGATTTTCCTAATTCCTTTGTAGCGTGCCATTCAGAATCCCTTCGCGTGCCAAGCCTGGCACGCGTGCCGTAGGTTGCCGATGCCTGCTTTAGATCGTTAGGTCGTTTCAAGTGCTATTTTAAAGTATCAAGGGTAGCTGTAGATCATCATGATGTTAGACAATATCGTTTATTATTTAATTCCAAACAAGTTTGTCTTGTACACCATTCATACCAAACGAATGGTTTAATACTTACGCAACATATTCCAAACAAATGCACTTTTAACGTGCTGACTTCAATTTTCACACAAATTTAATTTTTAAAAAATATTTGAAAGCAAACTAAAACCGGAAAAAGGACTCTACTGACGAACAAACCGTACCTGTACTTGTTAAAAATACTATCACACTGTTATCAACAAAAGGACTCTACTGACGAGCAAATTAAACTCGTGACAAATCATACACAAAAAAATCGAGTGTTGGTTTAGATTTTAAAGTATACCGAGTTGCTGTAGGTCATTATGGTGTTAGACAAAATTGTTTATTGTTTAATTACGAACAAATTTGTCTTGCACATCATTCATACTAATCAAATGGTTTTGGAGTTATGACTCAAAAAGTAAATAAATGCACTTTTATAACGCTTCAATCAAAAGTTTGTTTTTAATTGCGTTTTAGAGTATACTGAGTTGCTGTAGGGCTTTATAATGTTAGACAATATTATAGATAATTTAATTCTGAATAAATTTCTCATACACATCATTCATACTAATCAAATGCTTCAAAAGTTACAGAATTTATAATGAAACAATGCACGTTTGTAAACTGCATTTACAATGGAAACTAGGCAAGAATAAACTTGGTATAAAATAATTTCACTTTGGTAAATTTCTATGGCGATTTTAGCGTATACATAGTTGCTGTAGGTATCTATAATGTTAGAGCAGCGGTTTCCAACCTTTTTTTCCTTGCGCCCCCCTTTTGAAAGAAAAAAATATTGCGCCCCCTCCCTAAATTTTTTAACAATTTAATTTAAATATACTTAATTGAAATTATGATTTATTTAATCTCGTACCAAATAATGCACAATATACATACATACAAAAATAAACATACAAAAATATACATACAAAAATATACATACAAAAATATACATACAAACATAACTATGGATTATAGGAAAAAAATAATTTTAAATTTAATAAAAACAAATGATATGATATTTCACACAATATTAAAAAATTAATGCGACAGTTGAGCTTGTTTTTCAGCACAAATTTTCTCAAACCGCGGCTCCATTGTAGAAATCGCTGTTCTCAGTTCCTTTTCTATCACTAAACGAGATCGGTACTTTGTTTTTAATACTGCTACTGCAGAAAAACCAGTTTCACATAAGTAGGATGTCACAAATGGTAATAAAATTTCTAAGGCTTTATTTGTCAAAGTTGGAAAATCGTCCCTTACTTGTAACCAAAACTTAACAATATTCTTTTCGTCCTGAAACATCTGCTTCAATGTGCTATCACTAGATAAATCAATTATCATTTCCTGCTCTGGCGTTGGAAGTCCAAAATTATCATATTTATCAATAACAAATGGATTTCTAATCCATTCGTATTTGAACATATCTAGATCTTTGAAGTAATGCGCAAATTGGTTCCTTAAACTAGTCATATGATTGATAATAAGATCTTTACTTGCTTCTATTTCATCATCATTAACACATGTAGTTTTAAAAGAAGGAAACATATCAAAGTTATTACTTTTCATACTAGCTATCCACAGCTCTATTTTTTTCATAAACGCCGTAATCTTGTCCTTTTGAACAAAAGCATGAATTTGAGTTCCTTGCATTGATTTATTTAAATCACTTAGTCTTTTAAAGATGTCAACTAGATACGCAAATTTTGCGAGAAACTTCGTGTCATAAAATATGTCTGCTTCATCTCTTTTATTATCAGCAAGAAAAATGGCAATTTCTTTTTTGAGCTCAAACACCCTTTGAAGTACTTTAGCACGAGAAAGCCAACGTGCTTCACAATAATAAAGTAGTGCTTTGTATTCTGAGCCCATGTCATCACACAATTTTCCAAAAGCCTTTCTCTTAATGGACTATTTTTGATAAAATTAACAACTTTTATTATAATTTCAAATACTTCAAGTAATTCTTCACCCATATTTCTTGCAACAAGAGATTGCCTATGAATCATACAATGCGTCCAAACTGCACGAGGAGCCACTTTTCGAACTAGGGCCTGCAGACCAGCATTTTTTCCTGCCATAGATGGAGCTCCATCAGTGCACAGTCCAACACAGTTCTCCCATAAAATACCATTTTCAATAAAAAAGTTATCAATCATATTAAAAATTTCACTCGCCGTAGCTTTGCCTTCAATTGTCTTACAGAATAACAACTCTTCTCTAATATCATTTTCCATAACATATCTTATATATGTTATTAAGTGTGCATCCTTAGCAACATCGGTAGCCTCATCTACTTGCAACGCGAAAGAAGATAATTTAATTTTTTCTATCAACTGATCGCAAAGATCATCAGATATATCTGATATCCGTCTTCCCACCGTATTATCTGCCAGCGGAATGCTTTTAATTTGATCAGCATATGATTCACCAAACATCGTAGCTATTATGTCAATAGCTGCTGGTAGCACTAAAGTTTCTCCTATTGAATGGGGTTTTTTGCATTTAGCAATTCTATACGAAACTTTGTATGACGCAAGTAACGCTCTTTGTGATACAGACAAAGCTTTTGAAAACGATTCTTTCTGTTTATTTAAGTTATCTAATTTTCTTTGGAAAAATTCTTTTGTTTTGCCAACATGATCGGCGTGCACTTTTTCCAGATGTCGTTTTAATTTACTTGGTTTCATGCTATCTGAGGCCAAAGTATTCATACACAGCAAACACATTGGTCGTTCTTGACCATTAATGATCTTATACGTAAATCCCAATGATAAGTACATTGGATCATATTTTCTATGTTTAGTTTTACTATTTTGTGAAGAAACATTTCCATCATTTTCACCACCCTCTTCTTCTGCTTCATTAAATTTTCTTTTCAACCCAGTCACGTATTTATCCATTACAAACGGTTTTTATAACAAATCAAAGAAAATCACTTTTTCACTACTTTTCACAATAATTCCTGGCTAATAATGTGCTAAAACTAAAGCTATAAATTTTAACTCAATAATAATTTAGAAATGATTTTTTCTATATATCAACGCGTGTATCTCCAGCACAACTAATGAACTAATTCGATTTATAGATAACAGAATAAAAAGGATGCATTTGTTTATTTACTTAAGTTAGTCTCGAGTAATACGATGTTACTTCTTCTAATCTGAAAAATATAATTCAAATTGATTTCGCCAATGCGCACTATAGCGGAGATACCAATAAATATAGGATGGAGGTCGAAGGAAGTATACATGAAACATTTGAAGACTATGATAGATTTTATACAGATGGTTCGAAGAATTCAGATGGTGTTGGTGCGTGTTTTTACCATCAGGGGACAAATTCCTTCACAAAATATAAACTAGATAAAGATGCGTCGATATATACAGCGGAAATGTATGCTATTAATAGGTGCGTAAAGTATATTGATGAACATAATGTGAAGAAATCGGTAATAATCAGCGATAGCAGGTCTGCTCTTGAGGGCATGTTGTCGTTGGGAAAGGACCCGTCATTATTAACGATAGATACACTAAATGACATACATGCGATATTATCAAAAAATTGGGAGTTACGCATTGTATGGGTAAGAAGTCATATTGGGATAGCTGGCAACGAAGCGGCGGATAACGGCGCCAAAGATGCAATAAATACAGGGACTGTTGCTGCGGATGGAATATCTTATAGAGACATAAAAAGATTTAACAGAGCAAACATACGGAATATTTGGCAATTAGATTTCCAATTATCTATTAGAATTAAAGGTAAATTTTATGGTACGATACAAGGAAAAATTCCAGTCAAACCATGGTATGACGGATTTACGGAGTGTCGGCCGTTTTACGCAACATTGTGTAGATTAAGACTGAATCATTCATACGCTCCGTTCTGCCTAAGCAGAATTGGGATCGATATCGATCCTAGTTGCTACTGCTTGGGTGAAGCGACAAGGGCGGATGCAGAGCACATCATCATGGAGTGTAAACGTTGGGAAAAGGGCAGACAAAAACTATGGGAGGAAATAATTAAACTAAAAATCTCCCTTCCAATTAATTTTATAACAGTGCTGACAGATACAAGATTATATGGAGCTCTTTATATTTACATCAAATCTAATAATATAAAATTATAAAGGCAATATACATAAAACAATGATATATATGTAAGAGATAGTGTAGATATTATGTAATTTAGTATATGGCTAATGTACCAGTTTATAAAGCCAATAAAATAATAAATAATAAATAAAAAAAAGCACGTGAATATTCGATATGATCCGAGTGTTTATCTTTTGTTTATAGGCCTACAGCTCACTCAACTACAAACGCAAAAACGAATTATTTTGAATGCACCAAAAGTATAGTATATTCATGCTTTTACATTTGTCCTGACAAAATTGCAGCGAAAATTGTAGATAACTTGCATACATTTTGCTGATTTGTTTTTGACACTTACTCAGCATTTAACAACCATATTTTTGAAAGAGCTTCGCGCCCCCCCTGGGACGGCACCGCGCCCCACCAGGGGGGCGCGCCCCACAGGTTGGAAATCGCTGTGTTAGAGAATATTATAGGCAATTTATTTCTGAACATATTTCTCATACACATCATTCATACAAATCGAATGGTTTAGAAGTTACACAGGATTTAGTAAACAAATGCACTACTTCACTATTATGTTTGTTATCAACATTATATTCAATATTCGAGGGCAACTTATGAGTATACCGAGTTGCTGTAGGGCTTTATAATGTTAGACAACATTGTAGAAAATTTAATTCTGAAAAAAATTCTTATACACACCATTCATATCAATCGAATCGTGTTGGAGTTATGACGAATATACTTGCAAAATGTATTTTCAACGCGCGTTAACTATTGATCTGCGTTTAATTGCATTTTAAAGTATACCGATTTGCTGTAGGGCAATATGATATTAGACAAGTTTATTAAGTACTTAATTTTGCATATATTTCCCAAACACACCATTCATACCAAACGAATGGTTTTGATGTTATATACAACTTTGTAAAATAATACGATGTTAGAAAAAACTATTAACAATTCATTTTCCAACAATTTGGTCATACACATCATTCATACGAATCGAATGGTTTTAAAGTTATAAGCAATATAATAAAACAGTGCACGATTTGCACTACACGATTTGCACTACACATTTTATGTCAGATTTCCTAGCACTTTAAGGGTACACCAAGTTGCTGTAGGACCTTACAATGTTAGACAATATTATGCAGTATTTAATTTTGCACAAATTTGCCATAAATACTATTTATACCAAACAAATAGTTTAGTAGTTACGAGTGATCAAAAGAGTAAACATCATTTTTCAACATTCCTTATTATTATATATTGTTGCATTAATGTCGTTTAAGTTTGTCACTTTGTATTGCAATTTACGAGTATACCGAGTTGCTGTAGGGACTTATGATGTTAGACGATATTGTTTAGTATTTAATTTAGTATAAATTTCCCAAAAATACTTTTTATATACAACTAAAAATGCAAAAGTTATAAACGATTTAATAAATATATGTACAAAATAAATTTACTGTGTATGTGGCAACATCACTTTTTCGAACTTTTTCTACACGAACTTTGAAAAATCATTATTTCCAAACTGTTTATTGTAGAGGGTTGTTTTTTTGAGTATGTTATACCTTAAACCTGAATATTAAAATATTTAAGTGAACTGATATTAAAATATTTAAGTAGAATAATTAATATACATTATTTACGTAAGCAATAACATTTTGTTCATCTATGTTTTTAATGTAAAATTTAAACGTGACTTTGACTAATTTTTTGCTCAAACGTATTTATTGTAAAAAGTTGTAATTTATGTAAAAGATACTTAAGCTACTGTTTTAAATGCTAAAATTATTTACCACTATACATTTTGCATAAAGATGAAAATATTAAATATTTTTTTCTGCAACTACATTGCAAACTCTTTATAAAAAAATATAAGCTATGGTTCAATATATATGAAAAAATTTATTATGCCCAAAATATTTTTTGTTTGGGGTTGTAATTTGGTTATGTTATACCTAAAATATTATTGTAAATTAAAAAAAATATTAAACTTGATTTTATCGAATTTTTAATATGTTTCATCCAATTTTGATTGGATTTGTATGTAATGTACTTTGCATTAGCTTCTACAATGTATTTGGGTACTTTCTTCAAATTATTATTGATATTGTAAAATTTTCCAAAAATACTCATCAATTTTAGTAATTGCCTTCATAGTTCATCAAACTTTAAAAATGTTTTATTCAAGTGCTTAAAGTAAATTGGGTATTTAGATAAAAAAATTGTTATTATTTCAAAAGTTTCCAAAAAAACTCATCTATTTTAATATTTGTAATCATAGTATATGCATTGACAAGTAACATACTCAAATTACAACATTATAGTACAAAAAGTGTAATTTTAAAAAATAATCAAACTATAAACTATTTTATTCACATATATTTTGAAGAATAAAATACTTGGGGTACTTTGTTCATAAAATTGTAAATATTCCAAAATTTTCCAAGAACACTCATTAAATTTAGTATTTGCCATCATAGTATATGCATTGAAGAGTAACATACTCAAATTACAATATTCTCGTACCAGAAGTGTAATTTCAAAAATTAATCAAACTACAATATGTTTTCTTTACGTATAATATATTTTGGATTCTTTGTTCCAAAAATTATTAATATTTTAAAATTTTCCAAGAAAATTAATCAATTTTAGTATTTGTCATCATAGTATATGCATTGGAGAGTAACATACTCAAATTAAAGCATTCTAGCTCTTACAGTATAATAAATCACACTTAATAAATACACATAATAAAACACATAATAAATCACACTTAATAAATGACTTGACGCTAAATATTTTTTTAATGAAAAATTATTTAACAATTTTAAAAATAGATATCTAAACTAATAGTTTAAATATTAAAAATCTTAATACAATGACATTTGTAATTAAATCAGAACTTAATTCAATTTGTTGAATTTACTTCAAACTAGATTTATTAAAATTTTTGTGAAAATTTTGACACCGAACACTATTTTAAAAACATACCAAATATTTTGAGAAATCATATTATACATCGTAATTACACCTTTTGTTGTTTATTATAATATTTATTAACAATTTCATATATTAAAAACAAAACAATTTGAATTTGAATTTGAATTCAGTATTGACAGTTGAACAAACATGGCCGCTGTGTGCCGTGAAGTTACTTCATGTTTCACACGTAAACGTTTTTCCTAAATATATTAAATTTACTTTATTTAAACTATAAAACCGAGTTTCATATTAACTATTAGGTCTTATTAAATCTATAATTAGTAATTAAATTCATTGCAATTAATATTAAACTTGATTTATTATATTTTGCACATTTAGACAACTTCACATTTGGCCGCCATTTTATGTGCAGTTAATTTCACACGTAATCGTTTTTCCTAAATATATTAAATTTGCCTTATGTAAACCATAAAACCGATTTAATAATAACTACTAAATATTAAAAACTTAGTTTTATTCATTAAATTCATTGCAATTAGTATTAAACTTGATTTATATTAATATTTTGACATAATTTGATAACTTCACATTTAACTCAAAATGGCCGCCATGTTACGTGCAGTTAATTTCACACATGAACATTTTACTTTGATATTAAATTTGTAAATCTTAAACATTTAAAACAAAGTTTAATAATAACTGTTTATAATTAAGATTTGATTTTTAAAATTTGATATTTAATATTTAAAATAATTTTGGAATAATAAATTTCCTCATATAAAATAGTTTTACAGCTAAAACCAATAAATACATCAAGTAGATGTTTGAAAAAATATTTTTTATTT